TACATTCACTCTCCCTTTTCCTAATAAAGAGAATCTAGATTTCTCTTGTGAGGTTCACCTCTTCTGTATTGTGAAAGTCTGGCTAGGGCTGACATTTAAAGTGCCTAGTGTTCACCTAGCCAACATTCCCAGGACTCCCTGAGTCATGAAAGACAGAAAAACAGCTGGAACTGATCCATTACTGAACTGTTAGTTCCTGCTACATAGATCCCAAAACAGCTTTGGTTCCTAGCTTTTCAAAGCATAGCTTCATTCTGTGAATTACCCAATATTCTCATTTTGCTTAAGTTAACCAAAGTTGAATTTCTCTTGCTTGCAACCAAAGAACTTCAACTGATACAGGGAAAGTGGTCCAATAGAGGGCATGATAGAGGCCAAAAGAAGCTTTTAAAGGTAGCCTGAAATCCAGATACTTTATTTAAAAGTATTAAAAGAACACATATTAATAACTGTCAAAATTGCTGGCTATGGTACAATGACTAATTGATTTCATGTTTTTACGTGCTTGTAGTTAATGGTTAGGCTGATGATGTTTTATTACTAAGAACTATAGAGTTCACTCTCATATCTCCCAAGTAAGAAATAAAAACAAATGAGAACTGAAATAATACACATTACATGCTCTAAGAAAAACATCTAGGAAGGGGTGCTGGGAGGAGCAATAATCTATGTTACAATGAAATATACAGTCGACCCTTGAACAATGCGGGGTTTAGGGGAGCCAACCCCTGAACAAACAACTTTACAATTACCCCTCCATAACCGCAGTTCCACATCTAGATTCAACCACAGATCCTGCAGTACTGTAGAACGTAGTGAAAGAAATCTACATATAAGTAGAACCACACAGTTCAAACCTATTTTCAAGGGGCAACTATATATATATATATATATATATGAATATTATTATATATAAGGGAATCATTATATAACAGTATATCATATATATATATATATCTTACTCTGCATCCTTTTTAGGGTTATTTCATTACTTTTTGAAAATATTATAAAAGTAAATTTACCATTTTGCCACGGACTAGTTTAACACAGGGTTATTCAACCTTGGTACTATTGATATTTGGGCAGGATAATTCTTTGTTGGGGGGGCAGGGGAGCTGTCCAATGCATTGTAGGGTGTTTACTAGCATCCCTGGCCTCTAATAACCCCATTATATGCCAGTAACACCCCTATAATGCCAATCAAAAATGTCTCTTGAGAATGGACTTGAGGACCTGGGGAGGGGGAAGGGTAAGCTGGGACGAAGTGAGAGAGTGGCATGGACATATACACACTACCAAATGGAAAATAGATAGCTAGTGGGAAGCAGCTGCATAGCACAGGAAGATCAGCTCAGTGCTTTGTGTCACCTAGAGAGATGGGATAGGGAGGGTGGGAGAGAGATGCAAGAGGGAGGAGATATGGGATATATGTATATGTATAGCTGATTCACTTTGTTATACAGCAGAAATTAACACACCGTTGTACAGCAGTTATACTCCAATAAAGATGTTAAAATAAAATAAATTTTAAAATGTCTCTTGACATTGCCAAATGTCCTCTGTGGGGGAGGGGAGGGGGCAAAATTTTTCCTGATTAAGAAACACTGGTTTTTAACATCATGACTACAATAAGACAAATACAACTGCCAGCTCTATGATTCCACTGTGGAATCAATTGTGATTAAACTAGAGTTACATTCATCTTTTAGTTTAAAATGTATTGTGGCTAGAACTAAGTAAATTATGCCAGTTATTGTTTAGAGCTGAGCTGTCTAATACCATAGTCACCAGCCACATGTGGCTAACAAACACTTGAAATGTAGCTACTCTGAAGTGAGATGTGTAGTAACTGTAAAATATGCACTGGATTTTGAAGACTTGATATGAAAAAAAGAATGTAAAATAATTATCATTTTTATGTTAACTGAACAATTTTGGATATACTTATTGGGTGAAATATATTAAAATTAATTTCACCTGCTCAGTTCTACTTTTTTAATAGGGCTACAGAAAATTCTAAATTACATGAAATGGTGCATTATATTTCTATTGGACCTCACTGGTCTAGAAACTTGAAATAATTTAGTATTACTTGTTTTTAAAAAATTAATTATTAACAAACTTTTTTAGAGCAAGTTTAGATTTCCAGCAAAACTGAGCAGAAAGTACAGAGCATTCCCATATAATCCTTGCCTTCCACATGTCCAGTCTCTGACACTGAGTTTTTAATCATGAATTGGTGCTGAATTTTGTGAAATATTTTTCCTGCATCTATTCACATGTTCATGGTTTTTCTCTTTTAGACGGTTGATGTGATGTGTTACATTAATTGATTTTCAAATGTTGATGCATCCTTGCCTACAAAGGATAAATCCCACTTGGTCATGGTACATAATTTTTTTTGTATATTGTTGGATTCAATTTGTTGACTATTTTTGCATCTATGTTCATGGTCCATTGTTGATCTATAGTTTTCTTGTACTTTGACTGGTTTTGATATTAGAGTAATGCTGGCCTCATAGAATGAGTTTAGAAGTATTTTATTGGCTTCTATCTTTTGGAATAAACTGCAAAGAATTGGTATAATTTGTTCTTTAAATGCTGGATAAAATTCCCCAGTGAACACATCTGGGCATGGTGCTTTCTGTTTTAAAACGTTATTAATGATTGATTCAACTTCTTTAATAGCTGTAGGCCTATTCAGATGGTCTACTTCTTCTTGTGTGAGTTTTGGCAGATTGTCTTTAAAGGAATTGGTCCATTTCATCTAGGTAATCAAATTTGTGGACACAGAGCTGTTCATAGTGTTCCTTTAATATACTATTATAATCCATAGGATCTGTAGTGATGTTTCCTCTTTCATTTTTGATATTAGTAATTTGTATCTTTTTTTAACTTTATTGGAGTATAATTGCTTTACAATGGTGTTAGTTTCTGCTTAATAACAAAGTGAATCAGTTATACATATACATATGTTCCCATATCTCTTCCCTCTTGCATCTCCCTCCCTCCCACCCTCCCTATGCCACCCCTCTAGGTGGTCACAAAGCACCGAGCTGATTTCCCTGTGCTATGCAGCTGCTTCCCACTAGCTATCTACTTTACGTTTGGTAGTGTATATATGTCCATGCTGCTCTCTCACTTTGTCCCAGCTTACCCTTCCCCCTCCCCGTATCCTCAAGTCCATTCTCTAGTAGGTCTGTGTCTTTATTCCCATCTTCCCCTAGGTTCTTCATGACCTTTTTTTTTTTTTTAGATTCCATATATATGTGTTAGCATACGATATTTGTTTTTCTCTTTCTGACTTACTTCACTCTGTATAACAGGCTCTAGGTCCATCCACCTCACTACAAATAACTCAATTTCGTTTCTTTTTATGGCTGGGTAATATTCCATTGTATATGTGTCACATCTTCTTTATCCATTCATCTCTCGATGGACACTTAGGTTGCTTCCATGTCCTGACTATTGTAAATAGAGCTGCAATGAACATTTTGGTACATGGCTCTTTTTGAATTATGGTTTTCTCAGGGTATATGCCCAGTAGTGGGATTCCTGGGTTGTATGGTAGTTCTATTTTTAGTTTTTTAAGGAACCTCCGTACTGTTCTCCATAGTGGCTGCATCAATTTACATTCCCACCAACAGTGCAAGAGTGTTCCCTTTTCTCCACATCCTCTCCAGCATTTACTGTTTCTAGATTTTTTGATGAGGGCCATTCTGACCGGTGTGAGATGATATCTCATTGTAGTTTTGATTTGCATTTCTCTAATGATTAATGATGTTGAGCATTCTTTCATGTGTTTCTTGGCAATCTGTATACCTTCTTTGGAGAAATGTCTATTTAGGCCTTATGCCCATTTTTGGATTGGGTCTTTTTCTGATATTGAGCTGCTTGTAAAGTTTGGAGATCAATCCTTTGTCAGTTGCTTCATTTGCAACTATTTTCTCCCATTCTGAGGGTTGTCTTTTCATCTTATTTATGGTTTCCTTTGCTGTGCAAAAGCTTTGAAGTTTCATTAGGTCCCATTTGTTTATTTTTGTTTTTATTTCCATTTCTCTAGGAGGTGCGTCAAAAGGGGTCGTGCTGTGATTTATGTCATAGAGTGTTCTGCCTATGTTTTCCTCTAAGAGTTTTATAGTGTCTGGCCTTACATTTAGGTCTTTAATCTACTTTGAGTTTATTTTTTGTGTATGGTGTTAGGGAGTGTTCTAATTTCATTCTTTTACATGTAGCTGTCCAGTTTTCCCAGCACCACTTATCGAAGAGGCTGTCTTTTCTCCATTGTATATTCCTGCCTTCTTTATCAAAAATAAGGTAACCATATGTGTGTGGGTTTACCTCTGGGCTTTCTATCAGTTCCATTAGTCTACATTTCTGTTTTTGTGCCAGTACCATACTGTCTTGATTACTGTAGCTTTGTAGAATGGTCTGCAGTCAGGGAACCTGATTCCTTCAGCTCCATTTTTCTTTTTAAGATTGCTTTGGTTATTCAGGGTCTTTTGTGTTTCCATACAAATAGTGAATTTTTTTTTTCTAGTTCTGTGAAAAATGCCAGTGGTAGTTTGACAGGGATTGCATTGAATCTATAGATTGCTTTGGGTAGTAGAGTCATTTTCACAATGTTGATTCTTCCAATCCAAGAACATGGTATATCTCTCCATCTATTTGTAGCATCTTTAATTTCTTTCATCAGTGTCGTATAATTTTCTGCATACAGGTCTTTTGTCTCCGTAGATAGGTTTATTCCTAGATATTTTATTCTTTTTGTTGCAGTGGTAAATGGGAGTGTTTTCTTAATTTCGCTTTCAGATTTTTCATCATTAGTGTATAGGAATGCAAGAGATTTCTGTGCATTAATTTTGTATCCTCCTACTTTACCAAATTCGTTGATTAGCTATAGTAGTTTTCTGGTAGCATCTTTAGGATTCTCTATGTACAGTATCATGTCACCTGCAAACAGTGACAGCTTTACTTCTTTTCCGATTTGGATTCCTTTTATTTCTTTTTCTTCTCTGATTGCTGTGGCTAAAAGTTCCAAAACTATGTTGAATAATAGTGGTGAGATAGTATTACTTTTTAATGAAATAAATTCTTAAGTCTATCAAATAAGCCAAAAATACTTCAGAAAGCTTTCCACAGCCCTATGAAATTAGCTGACTTTTGAGCATCATAATTCTTTATTATCATGCCTGAATTGTTTTTTGGCTTCTTCAAACCAATTACTTCTCTTCCAATGCTTTGTTCTCAGTGTTCCAGTACGTTCATTTCTGATTTCTGATTTATCTTCAGGCTGTTCTTTATCATTTTCCTGCACATCAGTTTCTTTTATACACTCAGGAACTTTCCTAGTAGGATGCTGTGATGTTGCAGCATCCATCATACTTAGAAAATCATAAGCAGGCAGAGGAGGTTTCCATTTCTGAGCAGGTAAAATTTCTGGAAGAAGGACAGAATCAAGGATTAAAGATGAACAGATATAAAATCTCATCACATGAATATACTAGAAAATGTTTTATTTTGCAAAATATATTTGTAGGAGTAAAGGTCTTATCAGTTTTCCTTATCTGAGCAAAGCTATTTTTATTATCATAATTGTCTAAGAAGCTTGATACATTTGTCACTATTAGACATTTTTCATATATTACATTTACAAGCTATTCTATTTTAAATAAAGATAAGTATTAATAGGAAAAACACAAAAGGTCCATAATCTCACTGCCTGTTAACCCTTGTTGAGGTTTTAAAAAATAGCAATATGTGTAATGAGATTACACACAGCCAGGGACAAGTTAAAATGAAGAAGTCTTTTGCTTCCCTCCCTATCCCTGTCTTTATCCCAAAGAACTATAACTATGAAACATTTCAGAAAAAAAATTTGGAATATACATAGAGATTTATTATTTAGACAAGTATTTCCTTACATTTTAAAGCATTTTCTGTTTTGGAAGATTTGATTAGCATCCTTTGCACATACTTGATGAAAAAAAAAGTACATTTTATAAAAATAATTATAGGCAAGAAATCATTTAAAATTGCTATGGAATCAACTGTACTATAAACAACCAGTGATTGGAATCATGGCAGTGAATCTTAACATTATTTTAAAACATTGGTCATTAAAAAAAGAAAATGAATTTACGCTGACAACATATATATGAGATAAACTAGCTTTTCTCCATTTAGAAAACAGATTTCACACAATTTCAGAGTTTAGTTGCCTATTTGAAATACTATTTGAGAAATAAACTATATATAAGGAAATGTGCAAAGTAAACATTTAAAAAATAAATTCCAGTGAAAGAATCTATGCACTGGTACATGAAAAGAAAGTAATGCTCAAAAATAAAAACTTTAGCATCTCTCATAAATCAAATAAAAGCTTAGGACATTTTAAGAAACTTTAATTTCCTAGAGTAGATTAAAGCACAAACGAAAATCTGCATCAATATATATGTATATCTATACTCTACTTATTGATATATGATTTCTTCACTCAGACTCAATTATATGAAATCCATGGTACATCAGCAGGGTATTAAATTTAGGCTACCCTTGTAATTGATGTTTCAAATTACAGTGTTGCCAGGTTAGCAGACTCAAAAGTGACAAACGGATAAAACAGTTTCTTGAATATAATGACTAGGTAAGAAGTAAGAATAACTATACTTTGCAATATGCAGATAAAGCATCTTTAAGAAAAGTCCAATTTAAAGCACAGCAAAGATTTAGCAGTATTTATTTTTTAAGGTAAACACTGCAGCCTAGTGGTCTGAGATGATGACAATGTGCCTGAAACTGGACATCCTAATTCTGCTAATTATTTCCTGAAGGAGCTCTATAAAGATCTTAATGTTTTCAGTTACAAATAAAACTGTACTCTCATCACATATGGGCAATAAAGACATTATTATCAAATTAGTAATGATAATAATAATAATCGCCAACATTGACTGAGGCTTTACTATATATCAGGCATTATGTATTTAATCCTTACAACCCTACGAGGAAAGTACAATTATTATCCCAGTTTTATAGGTGAGAAAACCAAGGCCTAGAAAGGTCAGAGAACTTGAACAAAATGAAGTGTAAGTCTCAAGTAAGAATAGCCAGTGGTGACAGTTTCACAGAAATTAAGATGTGCAGCAAGCAAGGTGAGGCAGGGACTGGTGGCACCATGTTACAGATTCAGGCTATTCTAAGAGTGGCTGCAACATCCCTGTCTCAGATCTGTCTCCCAAGGTGTGGTGAGAGCAGGTCCTGGCAGCACAGAAGACAAGCCCCAATACAGAAAAGTCCTGCTTGGACTTTTGCTTCTTCCCTATTCCCAGAGGCTGCAGGAATAAATTAAGATCAGGAGCAGTGATACAAAGAAGTAATGGAAACCAGAGGTATTAACATAATTGCAATGGAAGAAATACCAGTCTCTCAGGAAACTCAGAAGAATAATTCTGATTCTTTCCTCTACTAATGGTTTGAGTTGAGGAATCAAAGCCCCCAAGGATGCTGCTTGTAGGAAAGGATCTTTACATGAAGAATAATAACACTTTAGGTTTTACATTTTAAAATGTATGCCTTTGCATACTTAATTTTGATTTTTAAAATAACTGTGATGTAGTCAGAGTAGGAACTATTAATCTCCTTTTATAGTTGTAAAGGAGGGCACAAAGAAAAAACTTGCCTAAAACCACAGTTAGTAATCAAGGAGGCTGGGTCAGAAGCTCAGGTTTCTGTGTCTTTGAACATCACACGACCTTTTTTAAAGCAATTCAGTTGGAGAGGTATTCTGGCCTGACTTACATATAATCCTATCTGACTTAGAGTCCCCGAGGCCTCTGTGTCACAGCAACTGCAAAATGACAACACTCAACTGCTTCTATAAAATAGCAATGCAGATAGAGAAGAGAACGTAGACTATCTGAAGAGCTCAAGAGCTACAACCGAAAGGACCCCTATGTTGTGTGGCTAGAATGAAGAAGCCAACATTGAGTGATAACAACCATAGAAAGGCTTCTTTCAGATTATGGAAGACAAAATAGTCAATTTAATTACTTTTTTACATATCCTAGGAAAATGTTAAAACTAATAAATTATCTCAGAAAATTAAGACTTAAAAATATATACATCTAAAAGGACCCAGAAAAGCCAAAATAATCCTGCACATGAAGAACAGAGTTGGAGGATGTAAATTTCCTAATTTAAAACCTGTTACAAAGATGCTGTATTCAAGAGAGTGGGGCAACTGCCATATGCTATCTGTGTACGTGATAGAAAAACATGTACATGAATGTTCATAGCAGCATTATTCATAATAGCAAAAAGTGGAGACAATGTACATGTCCATCAACTGCTGAATGGAGAAACAAAATGGGGTATATCCATCCAATAGAATATTATTCATCCATAGAAAGGAATGAACTACTGATTCATGCTATAACATGGATGGTCCTTGAAAGCCTATGCTAAGGGAAAGAAGCCAGACCCAAAAGGCCTCATGTTGTATGATTCCATTTATACGAAATGTCCAGATTAGGCAAATCCATAAAGACGGAAGGTACATGAGTGGTTGTCAGGGAATGAAGGGAGGGGAGAATGGGGAGTGAGTGCTAATAGGTATAGGGTTTCTTTTTGCAGTGATGAAAATGTTTAAAATTCAGTAGTGGTAATGGTTGCACAGCCTCGTGAATATACAAAAAACCCATCAAACTGTATACTTTAAAAGGGTGCATTTTACGGTATGTGAATTACATTTCAATATACAAATACCTTTTATAGACTATTTAAACACAGTAATTTAGTTAAAACTGCCTAACTTAACAGAAATGAAGTAGATAGACCTCCTGGGAAGAACAGGTGTGCTGCAATGATTGGCACTTAAAACAAATAAATTCAAGAATCTGATTAAATATACATAAATATACATAATGACAGACTCACACAATGCATGCTGGCTGAGAGACAGTGTAACACTGAATTGGAGTTTATATACCAGAACTGTGTGTATATAAATATATAAAACTGTGTATATAAATATATATATATATATATATTCACAGTGTGTATACATATATATTCACACACACACCCTTATTTCAGAACTCGGTCATGAACAGTGTCAAAATGTTATTATAATATAGTTCATTTGGTTTCCAATAACAAAATCCTCAGAAGTACCTTAGGAAACTTTTCATTACATCAAATTTCACACTATTTCCTCAACAGACTAATGATCTAGATGATTACATGTTAACTAATTTAAATTATATCAACAGGCCTGTTGTTGTCACAATTGTATATAAACTAACACACATCTATACCACAGGTATAAATCCACATAGGTTTTAGAAAAATAGGGAGTATGGCATGTCATAAGCCAGCATTATAAATTCTGGGTCAAGATCTATTTTCTTGTGGTTCAAAATTCTGGCTCTGGAGTACAATAGAGCCATGTTGAAATCCAAGCTTCCTCATTTACTGGTTAATTATATGACTTTGAACTAGTTACTTAACTCTTCTACAGGTAATGATAGTTCCTATGACTCTTGTGAGAATAAATGAGATAATGCATGTGAATCACGTAGCTTTGAGCCAGACACCTACTGAGCATTCAATAAATGTTAGCTATTATTATTAAATTTCATATGACACTTATTTTCTGTGGGTAATAATACCTACCATATAGGAGACTGTCCCATGGACAATGCTATCAGCGTATTAATATTTAGAATACTTACAAACATTACAATTCAACTCATTCTAGCATCCATGAGCGATAATTCAAGTTTAAAAAAAATCCATGAAACAAAATATAAAATTGTGCACATTAAAACAGGAAACTTACTGATATGACTTTCTAGTCCTGCTTCTAATTTTTTCAGCCACAATAAAAGGTTCTGTTCAGTGATAGCCTGGTCTGAAGGAAATGCAAATACTTGGCCGCCTGAATGCAGATTTACCACAGCAAGAAGAGGAAGGGGAGGTAGGGTATCAAAATATGCCTGCAAGATTCCTCTCCCCACGGGAGTATTCTTCCTATAAAAGGGAGCAACTAAACACGTTAATTAATATTTCTTTCTATAACAAAATAACAAGAACAACAGTTTGTAAAACATATCAACCTTTAAACATAGTATCATGCCAGGAAGTTTATTTTATGAAAATATGTCCTAAAAATCAAGAGGTCTGTAACTATGTTAATAGTAACCAGAGTCATAAAAAGTTTCTTTTAACATAGGGTACTTACTGTATTTCTCTTAGGAGAAAAAAGGCAACCAATGAGTTTTAATGAAAAATGTAGTCCAAAGGCTTGTCAATTTTGTCTCAATACAATCAATACATTCCTTCCAAAGTTTAGTCAAGTATCTGAATCACATGTCAGCTCAAAAATTAAATGGCTACAAAACTATAAAATAACAAGATACTCATAATAAATACCCCTTTTCCAAATAAAATTGTCTCTTTCCTCAGGATTAATTTCAAATTAAAAAGATTTTTTAAAGTATTCATACAAGGAAACCACAAGTTTAAGACACCTATTTTTCCTAATACAGCACATTCCACATTATGGAAAGAACTATTTCACTCTGAGATAGCTACAAGGATAATTACCTGGGAAAATTGTGTTTCAAGTAGTAGGCTGTACTGTTAGTAAAGTACAGGACAGTACTTTCACAACAAAAGTGTACACTGCCCCATTTTTTCCAATGAGTTAAAAATGAAATGTCTTTCATCTGATGACTTTGAACAATGGATAGTGTATCTAAATATGTGAACTGTGTTCAGAGACATTAAATGTAATAACACAAGCCAAACATCTAGAAAATATACCAGGAAATATTGTTGGTAAATGCACTGATAATTTTCTGTAAAGTTTTAGGCTGCATTTTTAAAATACAGAAATACAGAAAAAGGAATTAAAGAAAAATGCCAAAATAACACAATGTTTATTTTTCTGTATTTGCCTAATTTCCCTCAATGAACATCCATTACTTTTAAAATCAGAAAAATTATTATCTTTAAAAATTTATTGTATGACACCAAAAACAAAGGCAACAAAAGCAAAAATAAACAAGTGGGACTACATCAAACTAAAAAACTTCTGCACAGCAAAGGAAACCAACAAAATGAAAAGGCAACATTCAGAAGGGGAGAAAATATTTGCAAATCATATATCTGATAGGGGATTAATATCCAAAATAACTAAAGAACTCACACAACTCAATCACAAAACAACAATTCAATTAAATAATGGACATAACTGAATAAACATTTTTGCAAAGAAAACATACAAATGACCAAAAGGTACATAAAAAGATGCTTAACATCACTAATCATCAGGGAAATGCAAATAAAAACCACAATGAGATATCACCTTACACCTGTCAGAATGGCTATCAACAAAAGACCACAAATAACAAGCACTAGGGAGGATGTGGAAAAACTGGAACCCTTGTGCACTGTTGGTGGGAATGTAAGTTGGTACAGCCAGTATGGAGAAGAGTATGGAGGTTCCTTAAAAAACTAAAAATAAAGCTACTATATGATCCAGCAATCCCACTCCTGGGCATATTATATCTGGAGAAAAACATGGTTCAAAAAGATACATGCACTTCCAATGTTCACTGCAGCACAGTTTACAATAGCCAAGACATTGAAGCAACCTAAATGTCCGTCAACAGAGGAGTGGATAAAGAAGATGAGGCACATATATACAATGGAATATTACTCAGCCATTAAAAAAATGAAATAATGCCATTTGCAGCAACTTGTATGGACCTGGAGATTATCAAAGTAAGGGAAGAAGTCAGAGAAAGACAAATATCATATCATATGATATCACTTATATGCAGAATCTAAAAAAAATGATACAAATGAACTTATTTATAAAACAGAAACAGACTTAGAGAATGGAATATTATTCAGCCATGAGAAAGAATGAAATCCTGCTATTTGCTACAACATGGATGGAATTTGAGGGCATTATACTAAGTGAAATAAGCCAGAAAGAGAAAGACAAATACTACATAGTAGTATCACTTATATGTGGAATCTTAAAAAAAAGTCAAATTCATAAAAACAGAGTAGACAAGTTGTCAGGGACTACAGGCAGGGTGGGGGAAATATGGAGAGATTGGTAAAAGGATACAGACCTTTCAGTTGCAAGATGAATAAGGTCTGAGGATTTAATGTATAACATGATGACTATAGTTGATAATACTGTACTGTATCATTGAAATTTGCTAAGAGAGTAGAACTTAAATGTTCTCACCACCCCCCAAAAGTTTATATATATAAAACAAATATGTGAGGTGATGGATGTGTTAAATAATTAGATGGAAGAATCTTTTCACAATGTATACATATATCAAATTATCACAATGTATATTTTAAATATCTTACAATTTTATTTGTCATTTATACCTCAATAAAGCTGGAAAAAAATCACACAGCAAAAAAAAAAAAAAAGAATTTACTGTAAAACAGAATTCAGTCTAAAACAATGTCATCTTAGACAATCTGAGGGAGTTTAGTTACTAAAATATCATGATAACATACACATTGGTCCCATAATATATAACTCCACAAGTAGAGTTTCATTCCCTAATGAAAATTTAATAATAATTATACTTTCTTTACCTTTTACGTATTAAAAAATAAAAAAATATATACTTACAGATTTAACCAGCAAGGGGTAAGTGAATCCAAGTGTTTCTCTTTTAGCAGCGTCAATATTGCTTTTTTATGCTGAGGATTTATGCTGCCATCGCTGAATAAAATGAGTAATGGTTTCTGAAGTCTTAAATAAGTGGGAAGATTTTCCACAGTGATTTCTGGCTGTTTAAAACAAAAAACAAACCAAGAAAAATGGAGAATTATAGTGTATAAAGTAGGAAATAATGTTCAAATCACTCTTGCAATTTTAGTTTGTAAAATGTATTTCAAACATTTTCATTTAAGTGGAGATTTTGCTATACTGATTAATAACTATGAATCTCAAGAGTTTTTTAAATTTAAACCCATTTTGTCTTAAGAATGAGTTATTTTCAAAATAAAACTACTAATAGAATTTGAAAACAAATTAAAGGAGCTCCCTGTTTTACAAGGATGTAGCACTTCTAATAATTTCTTATGCTAAAATCTGGATCAGACTAGCCAACATACACATGACAAATAAAATTCTTGTTATATCTTTATAAAATTTTTGAAAAAAAACATAAGCTGAGCTTTAAAGATATAATCTTTTAACATCTATGATTACTTAAAAATTAATAAAATCTTACTTTGTTTCAAAATTATGAGTTTTTAGCATAATTAAAGTAATTCAATAATATGCTAAAACAAATTTTAAAAGTCTTATTTCTTTGGGGTTTAAAATAACAATGAAAAAATTTAGTAAGAAATAAGAAATCTTACCCTTTTATTCTTTTTATTAATTAAAAGAGAACAACGTTTTTTATATATTTGTAGAAGACAACTTGTCTAGGCTGTTATTAACAAGAATTGAAAGAGTAACAAACAAAGTTAACATATTCAGGATTAAAAATAGCAGTGACACTATATATAAAATAGATAACTAATAAGGACCTACTGTATAGCACAGGGAACTCTACTCAATACTCTGTAATGGCCTATATGGGAAAAGAATCTAAAAAGTGGATATATGTATATGTATAACTGATTCACTTTGCTGTATACCTGAAACTAACACAACATTGTAAATTAACTATGCTCCAATAAAAATTTAAAAAAGAAAATAGCAGTGACTTAGAATATTAAAGGCTTCTACCATTTTCCATTTTTAGTACCACATCTACTAATTCATCTTCTGGATGTACTTATGAGCTGGATTAAATCTTCCTATATCATAAAACTAATCCCCTGCTGACAGATAAGGAAACCAAAGACGAGAAGCTGACTTGCTGAAGTCACACAGCTAAGCAGGAGGAAGAGTTGAATGAAACTAGCGCTCAGGCATCCTGTTCACCAGCTTCCCATTTCATTGGATCACACTAGAAATCCAAATGAACAATTTTTTTCATGGTGCCGACCACCTCCGATTCATCCCCAAACACCAAACTCTGGCACATACTTTTCCGTACTTAGTTCTCAAAACCACTTTCCTCTGCCAATTCTCATTTTTCTTTAAATTCTTTCTCTTTCACACTAAAAATCCTCTTTTCACACCTTCCTCTTTCATGATTTAAATCTTAGATCCCTTCTTCTCCAAACTCCCCTGTGTTGTATTCTTGTATTAACTATCATCTTTTCTCTTCTACGTGAGTTACGTCCCCTTCCTAAAACTGACAGATCTCATCAAGCCAGCAGAATGGATTTGACGAATCTGGTGCAATGGAGCCATCACTGCTCAATTCAAAAATTTATTGAGAACTTCAAGATCTTATGCTGGGTACTGAATCAAAAAGAAGTAAGATGCTTACCCTGCCCTCAAAGAGTTCATAGTTTAGAGAAGGAAAGAAGTATACAAACTGCTGTGATCCAAGAAAAAAATTAATGTGTGACACTAAGGAAACCTATTGGCTCTAAATTAAAACTAAAAAACAAGTTAGGGGAGCTCATGGGTGATTTTAGGAAGTGGTATTTGATCTGGGCCTTGCATAAGGAATAAGACCTTGCAAGATAGAGGTGTGTGCTTAGAGCGGGGATTCCAGATACAGGGAGCATCATGAGGGCGCAGACAGGTGTTAAGGCATGCAGAGTATCTGGGGAACAGTGAGAGTGAAGCATACCAGACTTAGGCAGGCAAAAGGCAAATGTGGCTGTCAAACCAGAAGGGAAAATGACTCCACAGGCTTTCTAGCTCTCAGGAATACTGAGATTTTGTATCAAATGAGTGACATGGTTAGGCCTGTTTCAGATGACTAACTGGAATATGAATTTGTGGAAAGACAAGCTAGTGACAGGCACTGCTCTTTCCTATGTCAGGAAAGAAAGACTAAGAGCTGTGTGAGTTTAGAGGTTATGATTAGAAACAGAGTTAGGAATCATCAGCTGGTATGACAGTAGAAGTTATGGGTATAGATAAAGTCTCCCAAAGAAAAACATAGCAAAAAAAGAAAAAAGCGTTGAAGATGTAATTCTAGAGTGGCCAGAGGGTTGAAAGTGTACCTAGAGAGGATTGAATTGCAAAAGCCAAAGGAAGAGAGAATTTTAAGAAGGAAAAGCACAATCAAGAGTTTTGATTGCTATTCAGAGGTTAAGAAGAAACAGAAAAGGTCATCAAATGTGGTCCCTGGAAGGTGACCTTTGGCTATTTGAGTATGTAAGAGACTATAATTGTGTGGGTTCTGATATTCTTAACTTATTCATGATAAGAACATAAAAAGGAACTCCATGTATCTGAGAAAAGTGCTAAACATATTACCTAACAAATAGTTCTAAGTGTGACAGCCTTGGATATATCATTGCTTACTTATGATATTTACATAGCAAATTATCATGTATTTCAGATTTGGGCACTATTTACCTGGACTAATTTGTCATCAGGTTCATTAAAATAAAAGTTCGATGTTCTGTAAAAAATGTTAACCATCCGGCCATCCACTCCTCTTTCCTATCCAGAGTTAAGGATCCAAAGTCCTTCTGGTAACTAGGTGTAGGCCAGGAGACAGATTACTGCTAGCTGGCTACTGTACACAGTCACTGATGCTCTAGACATAAAGCTCCAACACAAAGCAGCACTGAGAAATTTAATAACCACTTGAAGGTTTTAGAATTTATGAAAAGATCGTAACTAAAAGCAAAATAAATATTATTACAGCTGTTCATTATTTAGTTGAACACTGCAAACCAAAACGTTGTAAATTTGCCTTAACTATAAACATCGATAATTGTTAAGCTTGCCCACAGTTTCTCAGCCTTAAAGAATATAATCTTAAAGAAAACAATTAGATACCTATTTTTATCTAGCAGTTAGGCAAAGATTAAAGAGTAAAATGATACAAATCTTCCATTGGGCGAGACAGGAATAAATGTCAGAAGCCTTCAAAATGTGCCTATCCTTTGGACTAGCAATTCAAATTCTATGAACTTACCATAAGTATATAGTCATAGCAACACCCAAAGATTATCTATAAGGATGGTCCCAGAATAAAACAAAACGAAACAAAGACATCTTAAATATTAACCAACAGGAAATTAGATAAATTGTGGTTTATTAGTACAACAGAATATTATGCCAATATTTAAAAACTAATATGCAAATATTTATTTCTTGGCGGAAATATCCCTTAATATAAAAAGATAAACACATATATACACATGGAATTTTTTTTAAGTTTGGTAAAATATATCCCCAAATTTAAACTTGGTGAAAGAAGTTATGGTTTATTCTGATTTCCTTCTTTATAGTTTCCTGTATTATCTCGGAAAAAAAAGCTAAAGTCTTATAATAATTCCAAAAATATTACACTATGTATATGCTAAAGAAAGTCATTTAATAATGTCATTAAAGACAAAAATGTTACTTTATAAATAATTTAGAAAACCACATCCTGAAAATATTGATTTGATTGATTATAAACTGTAACTTTAATTGGGGGAGGGGAGGCAATAGAACTGAGGTCACAAAAAACTTAAAGAATACATTCATTTCTTTGAGCCTAAAATGTAGTATCATTTAGGTCAGCATGACAAAAAACAGTAACAGGAGGATATTCGTTCAGTATTTACAGTTGATAATAGTGCCCCTATGGCACTTTAGAAAGGTAGAAAAGCATAAATTTATAATATTCTAGCTACAGTTAATATTAATGCAAAAGAACCAAAATCAAGAAATGCAGGTTACATCTGCTGGGCCCCTGAATCCATTATTACACAAAGTAAGCATCAGAAAAGGACTTCCGTAAGACAGTATTTTGCTCTAAAATGGTATAAGTAATAATACCAGCTAACATTTGTTGAGTGTTTACCAGGAGCCAAACACTGTACACAGAGCACTGAACACCCATCTCGTTTAGTCCTTACAATAACGCTCTGCAGCAGGGGCTACTATCACCTACATTTTACACATGTGGAAACTGAGGCACAGAGATGCTTACATACAGCCAATAGGGAGACAAGCAAGGATCTGAAGCCCAGAAGTCTGCTCTCTGGAATCTATGTGCTTTATGCCAAGTTTCAGCCTAGATTGAGTACTTCAACTGGCCATCAGCCACAAGCATCTCAGCAATAAAAATAATCCAAAGACATGTAAACTTTTGGCAGCGGACTAAAGAAGCTGTATGCATAACAGGTGAATAATAAAACAGAGCAACTCAATGAATCTTGACATCACAACACATCATGCCCTGTGCCAACAAAAGCTGGAAAATCACGTATTAAAAACACACTGTCTTTAACTGGTCTAGATTTTCTTATTTCAAATAACATCCTTATTATAAAATATACTCACAAATATTTCCAGTGATGCATTTGTTATTATTTGAACTATTTCTTGGGCATGGACATTAGCTAATGAAATGCTCTCGATTTTGCCTTCTTTGTGTCTGGCAAGCAGCAGGGCTGGAAGAGTTACAGCATATTTATTTGACCTATGGAGAAATGTAGTATTAAAATTTCCAGCCAAAATATAGCAAATCATCAAAAATATGAACAGTTAGGCCAAGAAGTCACAATGGAGGCAGCAAATGGGAAGTCATACTAAGGAAAAAAGAACTCGATTTCCAGACAAACTTATCTTCTATGTGAGGCTATCTGAGCAAGTTCAAGAACCTTGATAATCTAGATTAGAAGAAAGCAACAGATAGTAATCTAGCCAGATTTGTATTTCTAGACAACTTATTCATCAAGAAAATGTCCAAATAGGATTCGGAACACACTGAATGGTTCTCCACTTTTTGGGCTGCTCACCAAACTGCTGAGCCAAGGAGACAGGCATTTATGAGAATGGGCCTGTTATTGGCCAGGCACTATACCAGGTGCTTCTAGTTAAGTCTTTAACCGTCAGAACATCCCTATAACCCTCTGTTTACTGATGATGAAAGAGCGGTAAACAGCAGAGACAGAATTCACACTGAGGTATTCCAGATACAGAGTTTGTGCTCTCTCCACTGAAACAGAGCCCAAATCTGCTCCCTCCTACCACTACTTTTGCTAACTAAACTTAAAAGAAAATCACTAAATAGCAAAAAAATGTCTTGTGTGAAATTACCAGTGATGTAGTCACATTTATATCATGTAAAAGCTTAATTCATGCTAAAACAAAAGTATAGACATTATAATATTATAAACATTAGTAGAAAGCCCAGTTTTCAGATTACCTGTTGGTAATATAACCAGTTGGTTATAAACGAAACATACTCTGAAAACTACTGGTCTAGAAGAGAGTGGGTGACTGTCCATGTGTCAGGTGAACGAGTCTCATATTCCCTAAAGATCTGGAGTTCTGTATTCACTTTTAAAAAATCACTGATTTCATGGAGCTCGATCATCAAAAGCATGTGTCACCAGTATTCAGGATGAAAGATTTAAGCTCAGAAATGACAATGAGGAATAATATAGTCAGAGGGTAATAAACACAAACTGGGGCTTATTAACTCCACGTGCATCTGAAGATGAGTCATAAGTGTAGAACGTGCTATGTATTCATAATTTCCAAATTTTCAGTTCAGTCCTTCATTCCGCAGCAACTGAAATATTTGATAGTTCACAGGAGCCCCGAATTCTACAAATAAAGCAACTTAAGTGGCTAAAAAAAGCACTGCTTAAGTGTATGTCTGCAATAACAAAATTAAGTAGAAGTATCCGTTCGTCACCTAAAACTCTGCGAGAAATATAGAAAAACTGATTTTTATGTAGACCTTGGTGGCAAATCAAAACCCAGACACTCAAGAAATAAAATTCCTCATAAAACTATGATAACTGAAAAGAATTTACTGCAGGTAATAGAATCCAAAGAGGAAAACTTTTATAGGAAGATGAAGTAGTATGAATCCCATGTTGCCCCATGAGGGCATCTAGCCTAAAGAAGAATTTTGAATATCTAAAAATTCTAAATAGCCAGGTAGTACTTCCCAGATCTTCCCAGAAGGAAATTAAAAACTTAGTTATGTTGCTGCCCTATTTTCCTTCATCAACTGTGTAAAGACAAACAATAAATTATTTTGCAAATTTCTTCCTCCCTAAAATTAGAAGACCAACAGACTTACAGTGTCAAAACATCTTCTTCAGAATAAATTCCTGTGATAACACATCCTTTTAGGTAGTTTCCTGCTTCAGTGAACTCTTCTTTTGCTATAAATACACAAACAAGTTAAAAATCTGAAACCTTTCAAGTTATGTATGCTATTCAACTGACGAACATGTTTACAGATGATAGTGCTTAATTATTAATTAATTATAAAGATGTTTAAGTGCAGACCTTACATACCTTATTGGTTCTAAAATATATCTGTGTTCTTTTTATAACATTTGATAACTACAGAAATGTACATTGATGTAATACAACTATGATTCTGTAAATAAATGTACTCCAAATGTACAGATGACCCTTGAACAACACGAGTTTGTGTTGGGTCCACTTTATACATGAATTTTTTCAATAAATATAGTACCTGTATTTTCATTTAACAGACCTTTAAACTAACTAAGTGTGGGGAAAAGTATGTGTTCAAGAGATCACAATACGTGGAATCAAAAGAAGTAGCGTTTGAGTCCTAATTCTATCCAAACTGAGCTTCCTGCCCTTGGGTGGGTCATTTATCAATTCCTTTATTTTTGAGGCAGAGACAGCAGGCTGGGGATTTTCAACTGTGCAGGGGGTCAGCACCCCTAACCCCCTCGTTTTCAAGGGTCAACTGTAATTTATAAGATTTACAGGATTCTAATCATACAGATTAAGTAAATAAATATTGGTTGCTTTTTAATCTACTCCTAAGGCAAGGTAAATGGAGACAGCTGTCCTATATGTAGCCTGGAAAGAAAAGCAGGTATGTGAAATGACACACACATTATAACCAGAAAATCTAAAAGTGCTCATATGCATAGAAAAAATAGAAGACTGGAAATTCTAGTCCTCTAACAGTGTCTCTGTTAGGGTTCTATAATTATGAGGGATTTGTATCTTCTTCTCTTATTTCCTGTATTTTCTGTAATGTGTTTTTGTTACTTTTAAACTTTGATTAATTTGTGTATCAGTCTTTTCCCATTTGTTATGATATACATATTCAAAATAAGAACTATTACCTCTGTAGGTTTCTGAATACATTTTCATAAATAATAGCATATTCTGGACCTTATAACCAAGAAGCAAGTCTGAATTAAACAGCTGTAGACTAATGAGAAAAGAGCAAAGGTAGACTGATATAAATGATGTATTCTTGACAATTGAAGGCCAGATAATAGCTCGGCTCGCTGCACAAAAGGTTCATAGCAGTTGAAATAGAAAAACTATGATGGAAGAATTGAATCATAAAGCACCTAGAGGTCTGGGTATGCTGAACCCAAAAGATCTGTACCTTAGTAGTCAGCACTATATTCGTGATGTGAGCATCAACACTGTTAACCTTGGGTAACCACAAGATTGTTTTCTTTAAAAACGATGCATACTTTCCACAAGGCTGAGAAACACTGTAGGAAAGCCAGCTTACTAAAGTGGCAAAATCCACCAGCAGGCAGCACTGAGAGCTCATTTATAATCATAAATTTAATGAGAAACGAGTAACCTATGAAAATATTTTCTTTAGCCTGTGCTATACCAAAGTAGAAAAGATTCATAAGAAAACTAGGCAACTAGAAAGAACTGAGTGCTGTACTTTCATTTCTAAGAGAAATTTCTCTAAATTCTGATCAATAATTGATGATTGTTATCTAAAGCAATGACATAATGGAATCTGTTTTAGCTTCTTTTTTGATAAGAAAATTACACTAATAGTCCCATATAATTTCCTCATGAAGAAGACTCTAAACTCATGAATATGTTTCTTGCAAGCCTCTGCATGAAACCACTTGTACATAAATCCTAAGTTCCTTGGGGAATGGTAGCATTTAAGACTGTAGACCTCAGTTACATATCCATTCCCACTAAATCAAAGTGTAAATTCTCCTTTGAATATTTGAAACCAGGCACATTCTCCTCCTTGGTGAAAACTGCATATATGTCAGAATATATGGCAACCCAAATATAAGGAAATAATCAGTTATCTAAATAAAAAGTTTTTTTAACCACTATAAATATACTTGAGGTGTAATATTAACGGTGACTTACAATATTTAGTAGTTTTAACTTTAAACATATATTAATTGCATAAAATAAATACATTAGGAGCTTCAAGATGGCACAAGAGTAAGATGCAGAGATCACCTTCCTCCCCGCAAATACATCAGAAATATATCTACATATGGAACAACCCCTACAGAACACCCACTGAACGCTGGCAGAAGACCTCAGGCGTCCCAAAAGTAAAGAAACTCCCCACGTACCTGGGTAGGGTAAAAGAAAAAAGAATAAACAGAGACAAAAGGATAGGGACGGGACATGCACCAGTGGGAGGGAGCCGTGAAGGAGGAAAGGTTTCCACACACTAGAAGCCCCTTCGCGGGCAGAGACTGTGGGTGGCGGAGGGGGGAGCTTCTGGGCCGCGGAAGAGAGCACAGCAACAGGGGTGCTGAGGGCAAAGCAGAGAGATTCCCGCACAGAGGATCGGTGCCTACCGGCACTCACCAGCCCGAGAGGCTCGTCTGCTCACCTGCTGGGGCAGGCAGGGGCTGGGAGCTGAGGCTCGGGCGGGCTACAGAGCTTAGACCCCAGGGAGAGGACTGGGGTTGGCTGCGTGAACACAGCCTGAAGGGGGCTAGTGCGCCACAGCTAGCTGGGAGGGAGTCCGGGAAAAGGTCTGGACCTGCTGAAGAGGCAAGAGACTTTTTCTTGCCTCTTTGTTTCATGGTGCGCGAGGTGAGGAGATTAAGAGTGCCACCTAAATGAGCTCCAGAGATGGGCGCGAGCCGCAGCTATCAGCGTGGACCCCAGAGACAGGCATGAGACGCTAAAGCTGCTGCTGCCGCCACCAAGAAGCCTGTGTGCAAGCACAGGTCACTATGCACACCTCCCCTCCTGGGAGCCTGTGAAGCCCGCCACTGCCACAGTCCCGTGATCCAGGGACAACTTCCCCGGGAGAACGCATGGCGCGCCTCAGGCTGGTGCAACGTCACGCTGGCCTCTGCCGCCGCAGGCTCGCCTCGCATCCGTGCCCCTCCCTCCCCCTGGCCTGAGTGAGCCAGAGCCCCTGAATCAGCTGCTCCTTTAACCCCGTCCTGTCTGAGCGAAGAACAGACGCCCTCAGGCGACCTAGATGCAGAGGCGGGGCCAAATCCAAAGCTGAACCACAGGAGCTGTGCGAACAAAGAAGAGAAAGGGAAATCTCTCCCAGCAGCCTCAGGAGCAGAGGATTTAATCTCCACAATCAACTTCATGTACCCTGCATCTGTGGAATACCTGAATAGAAATGAATCATCCCAAATTGAGGAGGTGGACTTTGGGAGCAACGACATATATATATTTTTCCCTTTTTCTCTTTTTCGTGAGGATGACAGGGTCTTGGTGCTCCGACCGGACGCCAGGCCTGTGCCTCTGAGGAGGGGAAGCCGAGTTGAGGACACTGGTCCACCAGAGACCTCCCAGCTCCACGTAATATCAAACAGCGAAAATCTACCAGAGATCTCCATCTCAATGCCAAGACCCAGCTCCACTCAATGACCAGCAAGCTCCAGTGCTGGACACCCTATGCCAAACAACTAGCAAGACAGGAACACAACCCCATCCATTAGCAGACAGGCTGCCTAAAATCATAATAAGGTCACAGACACCCCAAAACACACCACCAGACGCGGACCTGCCCACCAGAAAGACAAGACCCAGCCTCATCCACCAGAACACAGGCACTAGTCCCCTCCACCAGGAAGCCTACACAACCCACTGAACCAACCTTAGTCACTGGGAGCAGACACCAAAAACAACAGGATCTACGAAGCTGCAGCCTGCAAAAAGGAGACCCCAAACACAGTAAGTTACGCAAAATGAAAAGACAGAGAAATACACAGCAGATGAAGGAGCAAGGTAAAAACCCACCAGGGCAAACAAATGAAGAGGAAATAGGCAGTCTACCTGAAAAAGAATGCAGAATAATGATAGTAAAGATGATCCAAAATCCTGGAAATAGAATGGAGAAAATATAAGAAACGTTTAACAAGGACCTAGAAGAACTAAAGAGCAAACAAACAGTGATGAACAACACAATAAGTGAAATTAAAAATTCTCTAGAAGGAATCAACAGAAGAATAACTGAAGCAGAAAAACAGATAATTGACCTGGAAGATAAAATAGTGGAAATAATTACTGCAAAGCACAATAAAGAATGATAAGAGTTGAGGACAGTCTCAGAGACCTCTGGGACAATATTAAATGCACCAACATTCGAATTATAGGGGTGCCAGAAGAGGCAGAAGAGAAAAAGAAAGGGGCTGAGAAAATATTTGAAGACATTATACTTGAAAACTTCCCTAATATGGGAAAGGAAATAGTTAATCAAGTCCAGGAAGTGCAGAGAGTCCCATACAAGATAAATCCAAGGAGAAACATGCCAAGACACATATCAATCAAATTATCAATAACTAAATACAAAGAAAAAATATTAAAAGCAGCAAGGGAAAAACAACAACTAACATACAAGGGAATCCCCATAAGGTTAATAGCTGATCCTTCAGCAGAAACTCTGCAAGCCAGAAGGGAATGGCAGGACATAGTCAAAGTGATGAAAGGGAAAAACCTACAACCAAGATTACTCTGCCCAGCAAGGATCTCATTCAGATTCGACAGAGAAATTCAAACCGTTACAGACTAGCAAAAGCTAAGAGAATTCACCACCACCAAACCAGCTTTACAACAAATGCTAAAGGAACTTGTTTAGGCAGGAAACACAAGAGAAGGAAAAGACCTACAAAAACAAACCCAAAACAATGAAGAAAATGGTAACAGGAACATACATATCGATAATTACCTTAAATGTAAATGGATTAAATGCTCCAACCAAAAGACATAGACGGGCTGAATGTATACCAAAAAAAGACCCATATATATGTTGTCTCCAAAAGACCCACTTCAGACCTAGGGACACATACAGACTGAAAGTGAGGGGATGGAAAAAGACATTCCATGCAAATGGATGCCAAAGGAAAGCTGGAGTAGCAATTCTCATATCAGACAAAACAGACTTTAAAATAAAGACTATTACAAGAGA